CTCACCTGTTTATTTATTTATTTATTTTTTATTTACATCACAAGTGGGGAGTCAAAGGCCTTAGCCTTGAATACCAAAGACCAAAAACAGAAGCTTTATTTCCATCTTCCTCCCCAAAGGTTTTTTCCAGCTTGTCTTCGGTCTTCTGAGGTTAAAAAGGCAACAGCCATAAATACTCTCTGCCCTGTGGTTTTTGTCAGATTATCTGCAGCAGCAAACACAACCTTGAACATCTGACCCGGCACTTGTCATATGACTCTGCCCTCGGTCACACAATAGTGTGTTTCAGTTGAGAAGAGCAGCTGAATAGAACAGAAGATCCTTCTGGACATACGGGTTTTAATAAGTGTGCCGATGGCCTAGATCAGATCAGAATCAGGATGTTTTCTGTGTCAAATCAGTCGCTCCAAAAGCTTATCGCTTAAAGTATAACAGACGTTTACATCAGCGCCATCAAACAATAAAATTCTCTGTCTTTCCTGTCAGTCTGATCTCCAGGATGCTGCAGAAAGATCCATCTCGCCGCTCCTCACTTGATGAGATTGAGGCTCACCACTGGCTCCAGGGGTTGGATAACGCCCTCCTCAGTCCAGAGGCCCCACCGCACTGGCTCTCAGGGGCCCTTTCTCCCAGCTCTCCCCACTCAGGAGTGCCTGAGTGCGGAGATCTACTCGCTGCAAGGCCATCGTCTGAAAAGCCCTTCCCTGCTCCGTGGCAGCCCAGCCTCAGCCTCACCCTGCGTCCACCTCCAGCTGAAGAGCCTCCCATCACCAAGAACCTTCCTGCGCTTCAGCAGATCTGTGAGGAGGAGGAGGAGGAAGAAGAAGAGGAGGAGGAGGAGGATGAGGAGAACGGAAGTATGATAAAAGAAGGGGAAGGCTCTGGCTCTTTACTAGAGGGAGAGCCAGAAAGAGAAACTAAAAAGACACAGGATGGAGCAGACAATCAAGACAGCAGTGAAGAGGAAGAGTTAAGAAGCTCAGTGGAGGTGATGAAGGAGGGCGACAAAGCAGAGGTGGAGACAGAAATCAAAACTGAAGACAGTGGGTGTGTGATTTCAGATCAGCCAGTCAGTCATGGAGACAGGCTGGTCAGTCAGATTCCTGAAGTCTCGCCATTCTCCCAGCTGGCTTTGGGTGTGCCGTGCTGTCAGGGCGAACATGACATCACAGCCCGAGAGGAAGGAAAGGACGAGGAGGTGGAACCCAACAACAACACCAACAAACCCCGTCCTCCTCTCCCTAAACCTGACTCCCATCACTCCCCGGTGTCCTCCGCCAGGCGGAACAAGATGGAGCTGCAACGAGGAGGACGAGAAGGCGACAGGGGAGGAGAAAGCGGTAGAGATGACCTCTTAACAGACAGGTGTCAGCCCCACAGCGCAGCGGCGACCCGGGAGGAGTCTGCCCCGAGGGTGGAGCAGGGAAAACGGCACAGCGTGAAGCTTCGTGAGCGTCTCTTTCAGTTTCCTCTGTGCGAGAAAGCTCTGGCCTTCAACATACCGACACACAACAAGCCCAAGATCCTGCCGCTGGCTCAGTACAACTGCTGCCACGTGCTCTAAGTGAAACCGGTGATATTTGTTGTGCTGCTTCCACATTTGGGAGACGAGGGCTGTTTAGCGGTCTGCGGGTCACCGGCTACCGAGAACAAATCGCGTGAAGCGGCAGACCGCTGAGCTCGCTGCTGAGGCTTTCTGCCGCTGTACATGAAGGAACGTGTACAGCTTCATACGTGCAAACACTCCGCTCTAGCACTTTGCTCGTCTGGTAAACACCCAGAGAGCTGGTGCTGAGCACAGTAGTCAAACTTAGTAGAACCTTGTCCCTTTGCTGCTGTGTACAGGAGCCACCACAGAACTAAACGAGACTGTTTCCAATGTGTAGCTTAGAAACTTTACTGGACCTAACTGTATATGAACTTGGGAGACGGAAGAAAGAAGGTGACGGAGAGAGAAGAGAGAGAGATCTGATAACCACAAGCAGTTTTTATTGAATAAGCTAAAGTCCATTTTATTTGTTTGACGGTGCCTAACAGGATAAAATGGATCACGTCACATCACATCGGTGTCATTTTAGTCTCGACTGCAAAAGCTCTGAAAGTCATTAATTATCTTCTACAGATTCCTTATTTTATTACATATGTATAAGACGGACCTTTAAACTAGAGCTGCAAGTGTTATTTTTATTATTGATCAGTCAGCCAAATATTACAATGGATTTGTTTATTTATCAGAAAACTGTGAGAAAGGGTGTTTGACCAGTGGACCAAAACCTGAATTCTCTTTAAATTGAGACTAAAAAAAGAGGTTTTAAAAAAATAGACACATTTGACATCATGAGAACATCGAGTGTTGGATTTTTTTGTTGGAGAAAAACAGATAATTATTAAAATAGCTGCAGATACTTTCTTTTTTTGGGATGCACAGATGTATTATGTGACCGTCTACGCGCTTTATTTGGAATCTGATTCTGCTGCAGAGTAGCACTTCTTTCCTTTTGCACATCCTGCCTGTGTTTGAAAGCTCTTATTATAAGCTGTTGTAAAGAAAGACTGAGACTGTTATGATATGATAGGACAGAGATGATATGATTTCCTGTCCTCTTAATCCTTGTTTCATACATATATAAATATATATTAATAGAATGGCTTGTCCTAACTTACCATATAAAAGTGTTTCTAGACTCACTGGTCACTGATTGGGATGCAGATCTTCCATTTTTCTTTTTAATTCTGCTAAACATGGTAACATTTTTTATTATTATTATTATTTTGGATGAGCAGATATGATGTTCCTTGATTAATTTTTTTATAATGTGACAAAGATATGAATTCTCTAAGGAGATATGTGACTTTGCGCATGTTAATACTGTCATTTATCACAATATACCTCCACGTGTCTTGGACCTGACGGGACAGTCGTTGTTTCTATGTTCTCGTGTGACTGTAATTACCTTGAGGTAACCCACTGAATAATGAATTGCACACAGTACGACTACTGTAGATGGCAGCTTTTAACAAGCGGTGTCCGGGGACTGGATGGCTAGATTTGTTGATCATTCGGCCCCAACCACAATGGCTTGTTATTGTGTAGCCGAGGAGTCTCCATGTGGGATTATTTTGACATATAATGGCTCTGTGTGTTCTGTATTTTTTCCTCTTCGACGCAGATACAAAGGTGTAATGTTTTGTAGGGTAACAGAAGGTCAAAGCTGTACAATAAGCTACATCTTGCTCCTATAGTTCAGTAACCAGAGCTTGCTGTTGTCAGTCACTGCAGCTTCATGAGCTCAACAAATTGGATTTCTCATCAGGACCCGCCATCGTCGGTTCCCCACCTACATAAAGAGCGGCCGTCACGGGAAATCTGATTATCGCTCATGTTTCATCAGCCGTGGAAGCATAAAATCTGTGCAGTAGAGGGATAAAATTATTTGCTTCTGTGTGATTGCAGCCTGTCTTTCCTCAGTGCGTCTCTGTCTACTGACCTGCATTATAACTAGGACCACATCTCTATGGAGCCATGAACTTATTTTTCTGTATTTATTTATTAAAATGGAATAAGTCAGCAGGATGGATGGTGTGCAGTCTGTTTATTTCACAGAAACTTGCATTGAAAACAAAATGCTCTTCTTGAAAAGCTCATTTCCACCTTTATGTTTTTATTCTCTACTTGATTCACAGTTCATAAAATCCTTACTACCGGTCCACTGAAACAAGCTGTTTTAGCTTCTCACCCTTTAATGCAACTCTCTTCTGATTGGCTGCTCCTTGAAAACAAAAGATGCAAATAGCAGGTAGGTGGGGCTTCTGTGACCAGAGTTTTTGGATCACAGGGAGTACTGGTAAATACACTGACTTCCTTATAATTTTTTTTAATCATTGTTATTAACTGACAAGTGGTGGAGGAAACTTTCACACCATCCCTTTAGGAAAAGAAACAAAGCATTATGAAAACACCTCACCACACACAAAACTGTAAATGTTGTTTGTCACTGTTAAATAGTTTAATATTACTGCTGCAGATGTTTAACGCTGACATCCCTTTGAAATGTTTAATTTCCAGCACAATATTCTCCAAATCATATGTTTGTAGTGGCCGTCCTGTGTGGACCACCTATCTCTGAAAAATAGTTGTTCATGAGCTCAGAAACACAGGCCTACATCTGGTTTTTTTTTAAGTATATTAAAATATATTAACATTTTAATATTCTGTCAGAGATGAAAGGAGAGAGATTGCTTTACATTGGTACATTTTAATTTATGTCTATTTTTAGACAGGCAAGCACTGCTTGCCTTGCATGTGCTGATGGACGCCACTGTTCAAGCTACTTCTACAACTAGTTATCCACTGAGGCTTCAGTACATACAATATGCAATAATACTTTTAAATACAGGATTTTTCTATGTTTTTCAAGCCCTCAGGTGTTGGCTTTCAGACCATGAGTCAAACTTCAATTTTCCAATTAAGGGTCAGGGGAGGAGACGGGCAACCAAACCCCATGCATGTTTTTGGACTATCAAGAGAACCCAGGTTACCCAGAAAGTACTCACACAGTCACAAGGAGACTCCCCACAGAAGGACCTCCGACTAGATTCAAACCCAGGACTGCTGTGAGGGAGCAGTGCTAACCGGTGTACCACCCAGGAAACCCGGGTATTATAATTACACATTATAAGCAGCTGAGTTACTAAAATAATAAAATACAAGATTTATTATGCAACTCATAATGTTGTCAGCATTATATTAGTGTCATTACTGCAAAGATGTGGACATGTAGCTTTACAAAGTTGTTTCACAGTGAAAATGCAAAGTGCAAAGAATACTGTGTGCTTTTTCTTGCAATAGTATGATTGTGTCTATCAAATATTTCCATCATTTTGTTTAGTTCTAAATGATCCAGAAAAAGGAAAACAAACTGCACAAATGAGCCCAGATTGTTGTCCGTTAGTTTTTTGGTGATCAATATAATCAAATAAAAGAACTTCACAACAAGCAATTCCTTCTGTCAGTTTATTGAGACAGCCAGCAAACGCTGTGGTCAGAGCTGAAACTCCGATCCTTGTCTAAAAGTTTCTTTTCATAAACTCGTGACCACTTCACACAAACACACACAGGCCTACGATTAGTGTCAGGATTGTACATGTGCACCTGAAGCCTCTTGAGGAACTCTCACCATCTATCAACACCTTTGCTGAATCAGTCCTTCAGCAAGGACCAGGCTTATGGAAAGCTGCATGCAAGTAAAATAAAAACGTGTGGTGCCCCCTGGTGGCTGAAAAGACTACTACTACCTAAAAATAATACAATAACATATCTAAGAACAAGACACCACTGTTCAGCATGTGCAGAGGGTATGGTGGGCTTCCCCCAGTGGCTTCACGTTCTGCACATTTCTCATAATATCTCAGATTAATCTGCACTGAACAGTGCAATAATACTTGTATAGTGACAGAGACTGCAAGGTTTCAACAAGCAAGTAAAAAACCCACACATACAAAAATAACGCATTTCTAAAAGCAAAGCACATAGCGATTCTTTGGTTGCTCCTAACTGCTTTCAGTGCAAACATTGGTACACAGTTTACTGTATTTAGCTCATGCTAAATGTCAGGAAGTGCATTTGGTGTAAAACTGTGAGATCAGCTGTGAAGACAGCTGCTGTGGTGACCCCTTATGACAAGAAAACAGTTGAAAGTAGCTTTTATATTTGTTGTGTTGACAGTATCTTCAAGGGAGTATCCAAAGTATTTCCTATTATTTGGTCCTTTGCATAAAGGTACATTTAGCAAAATACACCACTGTGTTTTGCTTTTTCGCTTCCAATACTCACTAAACTCACCTGTCATCGCTCCTAAAAATACAAGCTGTAAGTTCAAGCTGGAGGTTTTAAAAGCTGCAAAAATCAGTTTTTGGTGTCGGCACAAAAAATGTTTCCTTGTAAACTTAATTTAAACATCCAGCAAGCACACAGTGACATTAGCATCTATTTAGAATTGTGCCTTTCGAGGACTGTAAACATGGATGAGCATTTAAATCATGGATGTAGACAAGCATGTATTCAAAGTATTGATTCAAGCAGCTTTAAAGGCTAACTTTTCATGGACAGTTGTTGGTTTTTGATATTTACTCCATTGAAGATACAGTCGCCAACTATAAATCCCAAACTGCATCTTACCACTAGGTGGCAGCAGTGAGAAGAAAAAGACCCCAGAGAGAAAACCATGAAAAATATTGCCAAGTGTATAGCCCATCTTTAGAATTGCTAGTGGCCTTTCTTAAATATTGATTGTAAGTGCTGTATACATTTTCCTTTGAAAAAAAACACGCTTTACTGTAGGACAGTCTATTTGTAAAAAACAACAATTTAAAAAGAATTTAAAACCTTTAAAAAGTAATTAAAACTGTAAACACACTATGATGTTACATGTCCATGGCATATGCTGGAGTTAAAGTAGGATTTGGCAGATGTGGGAACCCTAAGATCAAGTGCAGCATAGGGCAAAATAATTACTTAATTAGAAATAAGTTGTATAATATTCTGCCTTGTGAGTCCCAGTAGATTTTTTTGTCCTGTGCTGCTATTCCCAAAATGTATCCATCTGAGTTCAACAAGTTATACGCAGATGTTACATGAGCTATGCGGCTGATTTCCAACCCCTACACACTATAAAGCTAAGAGGTAAAGTTCACTATCATCATCTTAAATATCAACTGATATCTACTACCCTTGATGTAAACTAGTAACGGTAACCTATGTGTAACCAGCCCAACATCACTGCACACTTTTATACTGCACATTACATAAACCCAACCAGTTTACCCTGCACTAACCCGCCTGCAACTTTTGAATTATAAAATTATTATTACTTCAGTTTGTTTTGCAACATGTTTCACAAAAACATAATGCAGCAAAACATTGTGTAAAAAAACCCCTAAAAACTCTCAAATGAATGAAGGCATTACATGTATGACTTCAATTTCCACTCAATAAAATGTCACTTGCTGAGCAGTGCTTACATTTGAAAACAATCTCACCTTCCTCTCCTTTCCTCTCTTTCTTACATCTTTCTCAATCTCTGTGTCGCACATTAAAAAACAAAATTCCCCCCGTGTGAAATAGAGCAGCTGTAAAATTAGCTCACAGACTGATTTTGTGACAAAGTGCACAGAAACAGCTTGTGTGCTATAAAATTACCTGCAACTTACAAATCATTACTTTTAATGTAATCTAAGTACTGCGACCACAACTTTGCATCTAGACCATGAACGCACCATGAACGGTATGAGAAAGAGAAAGGGATGTGCGTAACCAGGTTTTGGGACCCATTACTAAAAGCAGCACTAGGCTGCAGCACATTAAAAATTAACTTATTTCAGTAGTAACCTGCCTATTAGATTTCATTACTCATTAACCGAAGGTGCTAGAATACCACCCTGGATCGATCCAGCCCACTTAAACCCCTGTGTATATGTATCACGATGAAGAGATATCAAATAAAGTGAAATTAAGGCTTCGCTGCGCTCAATTGTAATACCACTTTGAACCACAAGATGGTACAGCGAGTTAGTGTGTCATCCAATTATTCAAGCTAGAGTTAGCTCCACATTCACACTGAATTTGTGTTACTATCTTACTTGCCCACTTATTTTGGTAGCTAGAAAAGCACAGGCCATGCTTTAAAAAAATAAAAACATTAGATTAATTAGGAGTCAAATTTTAAGATAGCAACGCTAAAGATGCTGGTCGGGCTGGACTACTACTCTAAAATGTTCTTATAAAACGCTGCCACCTTGTGGCGAAAGTTCTAATTACATTTTAGAGAGGGTTTCTGCAAAAAATACCTTTGGCCTTCACCTGCAGCGTAACAGTTACATTTCCTTTGCTGTCTAATAAACTATTTAGCTGCTGTTTCAATTGCACTTGCAGTGTACGGATATTATGAAGCTGCATTTCAAAGTGTGCACATCGCAGAAGCATTGGCTTAATCAGTGAGAAAAGAGCTGCAGATACACTTTGGGATCACACAGGGGCACAGCAATAAACATCGTGGGCTCCGCTGGAGATCCACTACTTTTCTCCTGCTGGGTTCCACACAACGCTAAAGATGGTGGCCTCCAATGACATCAAGCACCATCTCATCAACCTTGAAACACAGTTAGGACACTTCAGGTTGCAGCTTCTGAGGGGGGAAAAACAAAGAAATTATGTCATACGGATGAAGGAGTGCACCAAAATGCTAGACAATGAAGTCAGTGGAGATGGCGTTAACCTGTTCTTTCAGGGCCTGCATGGATGTGTACTCCATTTGATCTCTCTTCTTCCTGATCCAGTCGGGTTCATCGGGAATCAGGGCTGCCATAATAAACTTGATTAAGATCAGCACGTGCTGCAAACACACACGAAGATAAACATGTCAGGGGTATACACAGAAATGCGTTTGATTAGCTGTCTAGTTCTCTTCTTACCTCCCCAAAAACAGCCAACAGCAGGACGTTCGTGCTGCTCAGGCCGCCCTCGCGACACAGCTCTTGTAACCGTGGCGACAGCAGCAGCAACCAGCAGTTGGAAATAACGGAGACGAAACTCAAGACCTCGAAGGCAACCTGGGACACGAGACAACAACGTGAACTGTTTGCTCATAAACGGGCCGAGCGTGACAAAGGTTCTGACCTGCTGACCTGCCACACGCCCATGTTAGCCACAGGAGGGGAGAAGGGCTTGCGGAAGAGGTTGCAGATCTTATAGGCGTCTGATCGGATCTCCGTTATGTTGTTGATGAGCAGCAGCACGGCCGTCAGAGGATACACGCAGGAGAAAAGACTCAAATACCCAAACTGCACCAGGAGCTCTATATATTCTGCAAACAGGCCCTGGGACACCACAGGAAGCTATCACTCTCAGGGTATTATAATCAAACTGTGTTTTATAATGTATTTATTGGCTTTATTCACTGATACTGGCCTGAAAAAATCTTTTTAGTTGCTATTGGCCAGATTATATTTTAAATATTTCACCCTATCAGTGCATGCCTAATGTTTTCTATATCCTCACAGGAAAAACAGGCAGGGTTCTCTGGTTCCGGAATTTGTCCTCCTTAGGGTCATCTTCACTCTCTGTCCTGTGGGGGGCGCTGATGAATCTGTCCACCAGGAAAGGTATAACCAC